TATGACGGAGGAGTCACCTTTTTTATTTCCAGTCCGAGTGAGGGACAAATCAAATGTGAATGGGTCTTTTTGGTTGTCTTTTTGCACTGGCTCAGTTCTTCTTGCCGGAGCCTCCACCTTCGCACCATCGACTCCTCTATCCCAAGATTACGGGCAGCAGCTCGATTTCCTTCTTTAACTGCCAGAGTGATCGCTTTTAGTTTAAAAGCTGCATCATATGCTTTTCGTCTGGTATTCTCCATGTTGATCAGGGTTAGAAGAAAGACTGAAATAAAGAAGTTGTGATTACCGGTAATTATACAATTTCATTGGACCCCTGTGTACTACTCATTCATTTTATTGGTCGACTGTTGCCAGGTAACACATTTTACCCCGCTACGGCGAGAAGAGCGGAAGTTGTGATTAGTCATACAATCTCATTGGACCTCAGTGAACTACTCATTCATTTTATTGGTCCATGTTTTTCCCATGATGGAAAAAAAAATAATGAAAAAGCCGCTTCATATTACAAGTTGCAGTGTTGAAAGTGTGGAAAAAAAAGTAGCGGCTTGTAATCCGGAATTTACGGTAAGTTATCACCATAGTAAGAAATACAGTGATCTGTATTTCTGTATTAGTATTGTATTCAGTACTGTATTCCATATACAGTCAAATCTCGGTTTTCGAACATCGCTGTTCTCGACCAAATCGGTTTTCGACCAAAGATTTCGAGTTTTTTATGCCTCGGATTACGACCGAAAATCGGTTCTAGACCAAACTGAGCAAACTTGAATGCGCTACTTGACTCCTGTCACCTTCCTTACACAAGGAAGTGACGCTTCCTCGGGTAGACGAGTAAGTGACGCTTCCTCGTGTAGCGTTCCATTGTCAGCAGACGTGTTAAAGATTTTTTTAAAAAGCATCGTGTTTGTTGACATCTACGCAAATCGGACTGTTATTTCTGCATTGTGTATCAGACCCTAATCATGGCACCAAAGAAAGCAAGTGGAAGTAGTAAAGCTGGCTGAAAAAAATAGGAAATCGTGCGCAAAACTATTGAATTTAAGATAGATTTGATAGCGAAATATGAATCAAGTGTACACGTGTCTCTGTTGGCTAAGGAGTTCGGCATGCCAAAATCGACGATTAGCAGCATCCTAAAAAAGAAAGACCATCTTAAAGTCACTGATGTGGCTAAAGAATCTCATGTGTTTAGCAAAGAAAGGCCACAAATATTAGAGGAGGTGGAGAAACTTTTGCTTATTTTCATAAATGAGAAACAGCTAGCAGGGGACAGTCTTAGCCAAGATACGATTTGTGGCAAAGCAAGACAATTGTATGGAGATTTGATAAAAAAGGATCCTAGCATTGCTCCTGAAGAGTTTGATTTTAAAGCAAGTAGAGGATGGTTCGAAAAGTTTAGGAAAGGAAGTAGGATACACTCCATGATTCGTCATGTGGAAGCAGCCAGTTCAGTCAAAGAAGCTGCCGAAAAGTTTGCCCCAAGAGGGTCGTTGCAGGGTTGATACTTGGTTGTTGCAGATTTGCAACAACCAAGTACAGTCAAACCTTGGTTTTTGAACGTCTCTGTTCTCGACCAAATCATTTTTCGACCAAAAATTTCAAGTTTTTTATGCCTCGGATGGCGACCGAATTTCGGTTCTCGAACAAACTGAGCGCACTTGAATGCGTCACTTGACTCCTCTCGCCTTGCTTACACGAGGAAGTGACGCTTCCTCGTGTAGCGTTCCATTGTGAACAGACATGTTCAATAAAGATGTTTTTATTAAAAAGAGCGTGGTTTCGGTTTTCGAACAAGTCGGTTTTCGAACAGCCTTCTGGAATGGATTATGTTCGAAAACCGAGTTTTGACTGTATCAGATTTTACCTGTTACCAGAACTTAATTTGAGCCTCAAGACAAGAGGGGTAAAGTTGAGTTTGAAAATCTCATCAAGGCCGAGGAATATCTTCCCCAGCACATTTTTAATATGGATGAGACTGGACTTGTGTGGATGAAGCGGTTCAGAAAATGGATGGAGGGATGTTACCTCGTACCGTAGCGTAGGGTTGCAGAGAGAGAGTCCATAGTTACAGCCGTGACTTTCGGGTTTATTCGTTGAAGGTGTAAAATAATGTATTCTACAATAGTCACGATGTGTGAGAGAGAGAGAGAGAGAGAGAGAGAGAGAGAGAGAGAGAGAGAGATGTTGAATTTTTGTTGCAATGTTAATGTTCGTTAAAATTGGTAAAAATAAAACATACAAAATGTTTGTACAGTTTGTTTGTGTAGTATTGTACATATTACCTGCTCTCTTATTACATGTATACACAGTTTATGGTGTAAAATAGTAAAGAAAATGCTTTAAAAAAAGTTGTTTTCTCGACTTGGAATGGATTAAAATTTATTACATTGATTTAAATGGGAAACATGGTTTCGGTTTTAGAACACATCGGTTTTGGAACAGTCTTCTGGAACGGATTATGGTCGAAAACCGAGGTATGACTGTATATACTTATATAACGTATGACCACATACCGATAAGTACTGTATTCAGAAATGTTTGGCTTGTTACAAACAAGCTGTTATAAACAAGCCATACACGAAGTCTATTCGTGTATGGCTTGTTTATAACAGCCCTCCAATATGGCCGCCGGTAGTGCATTGTGGGTAATTGCTAAAAGGACGGAGCCCTCTATACCGAATGACTCAGAGATTTTGTACATACCTATACGCATGATTGGTTCCCGATGCGACCGATGACAGCACGAGTGGATTTATTGAGCTGATTGGCTGCACATCTTCCCGGCCTTGTCCAGCAACTTCCCTTGTGTCTCGTCAGGCTGTTGACTCTGATCGGTGTGTCTGGTCACTCTGCTAACTCTCGCTCGCCTGCCTCTCTCTGGCATAATTTCTTCTGTTGTGTTTGCTATGTGCGCGCGGGGAAGGGTGGGGGGGGCTGAGATTGGTCTTGTACGAAAAAAGCAGCACGTGTCTCTTCGCCTCCTCCTCATCAATACCGATTAATTGTCTCATCATAAACTCATCGGCTGTGCGGCGATAGCTGGCCAGGAGCTAGCTGGAAGCTAACGGCAGCCACGCTGTCAGAGCGCCACTAACACAAGTCTCTTTGTCTCTCTCAGAAGGCAAGGCTGCTGAATGTTAATGACTCTATAAGGTTTTATAATTAAATATTGTCTCAAATATGTAAAGTACAATCACTGTTTACATGTTTTAAACATGCTGGTACCCACATACACTTACACATAAATTCCTAGGGGGGGTGGAAGCCAACCCTCCTTCACAATTTTTCTCTTATTGCAGCAGGGTCCCAGCCCCATTAACAGTGATAAGTGAGGGAACACTGTAAAAATTAAAATGTTTCACTCTGTGTAGTGAATCTATATGACTTTCAATTATTTTTTAAAGTTTTCTACAATGTAATTTCTTGAAAAGCACCTGAGCTGTTGTGGTTTTCCCTACAGGCTGTTGGCAGGGGTACCTTTGGCGTTGTCTTCAAAGCGGTATGGAAAGGGAAGGATGTGGCAATCAAGACCATTGAGAGCGACAGTGAAAGAAAAGCTTTCCTTGTTGAGGTACGTCAAACTTGTGATCCGAGCTGCGATACAAGCCTCCAGAGGTGGGCACGTCACTGAATTTTTTCGGTCCACCGTTTGTTTTTTGCCAGCAGACGGGCACAATGTCCATCATCGTTAGTCCATCGTCATTTCAAGTCAAACCAAAACATTTATCGTTATTTTAACCGCGCACCGCCATCGCTTACTGATAATTTGTTACCACTGCTTTAGGAGATCACATGCATTTGGAGCATAAGCAGTGTATCTCCAACCACACTTCGTACCGTGAAGACTAACACAAAGATCTTCCATAATATTTAAAATCAATACTGACAATCATCTCTTTGACTCAAACATTCAGGACAGAAACAAAATGTTTGCACCTTGTAACCCAGTAGATAAAGTAAAGAAAAAATTCCATCACACTTCCTCACGCCTCTCTCTCTCTCTCTCTCTCTCTCTCTCTCTCTCTCTCTCTCTCTCTCTCTCATTTACATCCAGGATTTAACACAAAACCACAAACCATAAGTGTTTATATCATTGGTCACAGCATAATTGCATTAGCTATTCCTCAGGATTTTTGGAAGACAAGAAAAAAAAAAATTTTAGAACATGTATTGCTATTTTTGGTATTCATATTGTCAGAAAAATTTCAATCGGATAGGTGAAGAAGCGAAAGGAAAAAGACCCAATAAAAAATAGCAATGTGTGATGATTTTTTTTCCCCTTGTTTTCCAAAAATATTGAAATATGACTTTTTAGCAATGACGCTGTGTGACCGGCCATATGCAAATAAATACATATGCACAAAATATTTGACTAAAACACAGCCAATCAAAGGTAATAAAAGTGGCTGAGGCTCTGCAAAGTTGTGAAGCGCAACAATGTTGATTTTTGAGTTTAATTTTTATCCCACTTGAAAAGTGCACATTTTGTGGTGAAAGTAATTCTGTCACGTGCACGGTGCATTTGTGACACACGACGATGACATGACGTCATCTTTAGCAGACGCCATCAAATGCATGTAAACAGAGGAGCGAGCAATGTACATTTAGAGGAATGAGACGAGCCCTTAGTCAATGAAGTCCACTTGGAGCAAACATTCACCCCCACGAACAACCATGTGAGACGCCTGCCGTGCGATCCCATCAGTCATTAGTGAAACGGGAGTCGAAAGTCCGTCAAAAACTGACCGAGTTACTGATGGTTCCAGCAATGAACAAAAACCCTCTTCTTACGATGCTCAGTCCATCATTTTACTTTTAAGCTTCCCATATTCAGTCAGTAAAACATCTGTCTTTCATTGACGGATAGATGGACCTTCTGTCGGTGCTGCCCACCCCTGAAAGCCACTGTAATCCACTAAAAAAAACCCCCACCATTTTTCAGAAACAGAAAGAAGAAACACATAATCTGTGAGATGAGTACTTAAGAGAAACATCAGAATTTTCTGTCTGCCTCTTTTTGTCTTCATGCAGCTTCGCCAGCTCTCAAGAGTGAATCACCCAAACATTGTTAAACTGTATGGTTCATGTGACAATCCTGTAAGTATGCAACAATTATCACCTTGTTGTTTAAAAAATAAATCAGTTTATTGATTCACAAGAGGGAATTCTTAAAACATTCAAAATGTATTTTTCTTCATTCTATAAAAATGCAATCAATGGCATCTGATTACCTGAAAAAGGTTTAAATTGATAAAGTGTAATAAACAATGATATACCCTTTATGCTGCCATATTTTGACAGGTTTACATAATCGCAGTGAGGTGTTCCATGATGTAACACGCTCCTGTTAATGTTGTACTTTCCTGGTCTATGTGCCTCGAAAATGCCATATGGCGTCAAATATTGCCATAATTTGGATGGCACTCCGAACTATGTCAGGTGTCATATTTTTCCCTGAGAAAATGACGTAGAGGCGGACAAAATACACGTAACTTAATGTCCCCCCAAAACAACCCAAAAGGTGAACGATTGTCACCAAAATGTATGCGTACGTGTCGGCATGTGAGTCCTAGTCTGAAAATATTAGAACGAAACTTGCCATATTTTGGTTTATATTAACGTTGTAAGCATATATATTTATCAATAAAGCAGCACTTCTGGCTATATGACATTAATATACAGTGATCCCTCGCTATATCGCGCTTAATTTATCGCGGCTTCAGTACATTTTTTTTTTTTTTTTTTTTTTTTGCAAAGTACTGTATACAGAAAAAAAATGCAAAACGCTTCAGAGGCTTTGTACATGCCTATACTGTATAATAATAATAATAATAATAATATACTGTATATGCAAAGGGAACTCATTCAAGGCACATGATTGGTTCCCGGCATAACGTCGACCAGTGACAACATGAGTGGATTGATCTCGTGAGCTGATCGGCTGCGCATCTTCGCAGCCCCGTCCAGCGTGACAAGACACGAGGGAAGCGTTGTGTCTCGTCACGCTGTTGATTCTCTGGCGTACTGTCTACCAGTCACAGGCAATCTTAACTTAGAAAAAAAGATGTATTTACATTGATTTTATTTCACATTTTTATTCTACTTTTATGAACCTCTATGTGCTGCTGTATCTCGTCATGGTTAACACTTTTAACTTTTTTTTAATGAACAGAGTATTTTCGAGTCTTTCCAAATTGATTACTCATCATTAACATAGCGTGCCTTTGTTTTGCAATTCTCAGGTCTGTTTGGTCATGGAGTATGCAGAATGTGGCTCTCTATATAACCGTAAGTCATTTTATGTCCATGAAAAAGTTGCACTTGGATGTTGCTTTGAGGAACATGAATTTGCTAATATTTACTCCCTTTTTACAGTGGATATAAAAACTTAACACACCCCTCTTCATCTACCATTTTTTTAGATGTAAAACATTCGATAAAGATAAATCATTTCAAAACTTTTTTTCACCTGAAAGCAACACACTTGTCAAAATTAATTTTCTAGCATCTGATTAATCAGTATGTATAAAGAATAAAAGTGCCAATATTAATGGCAGCTGAGTGCCTGACGAAACGTTTAAACTGATTATGTATCAAAATAATGACATAGCGTGCAGACTGCCATATTGGACATTTTGTACTGCCTCATGCGATACCTGTGATGTGTTACTTGCTGGACGCAAACTAGACCAGAGGTAGGGAACCCCGGTTCCTCGAGAGCCATATCCTGCCTGTTTTAGATCCCGCCCTACTCCCAACACACCGGATTCAAATGACCAGCTCATGCTCTGTCGAGTCCTGAAATGATCAGGAACAATTGAACCCGGTGTGTTGTAGTAGGGAGGGACATAAAATGGGCAGGATATGTCTCCAGAGGAGCCGGAGTCCACTACCAAAGAACTAGACAGTTTATTTTGGACTTATTTCCTGGTTTATTGTGCGATTAAAAAATCCTATATGGAGTCATCAAGTACTCCCATAATTTGGAGAGCACTTGTAACTGTCAGGTTTCATACTTTTCCTTAAAAAACAAAAATATGGCGACAACTTTTGCTAAATCTTGTTGAAATGTTCAACTAGGGCTGTTTTATTTAAAAAAAACAAAAAAAAAAAAAACAAGAATTGTATGCGGTTCTACTAAGCCATTTTTAAAAAATCCCGCAATAAACACACACAAAAAAATGTGTGATTATTTTGCCAGGTGTAATGTGTGTGTCAAGTTTGTACGAATGTTAAGGCCATCAAAATCATTTTTAATGGCAAGCAGCGCATCCCCAAGGTAAGCGTGTTGGATGAAATAAAAAGTCTCTCTCTCTCTCTCTCTCTCTCTCTCTCTCTCTCTCTCCAGTCAAACCTCGGTTTTCAAACGTTTCTGTTCTCGACCAAATCGGTTTTCGACCAAAAATGTCGAGTTTTTTATGCCTCAGATTACGACCGAAAATCGGTTCTCGACCAAACTGAGTGCACTTGAATGCGCCACTTGACTCCTCTCGCCTTGCTTACACGAGGAAGTGACGCTTCCTCAGGTAGACGAGGAAGTAACGCTTCCTTGCGTTCTACTGTGAGCAGACGTGTTCACTAAAGATTTTTTTTTAAAAAGAGCGTGGTTTGAGTTTTCGAACAAATTGGTTTTCGAACTGCATTCTGGAACGGATTATGGTCGAAAACCGAGGTATGACTGTGTGTGTGTGTGTGTGTGTGTGTGTATATATGTATATATCTATATATAGATATATATCTATATATATCGATATATATGTATATATATCGATATATATATCGATATATATAGATAGATAGATAGATATTAGAGCTGTCAGTTTAGCGCGTTTTTATTGGCATTAATTTAAATGAATTTTAACGGAATAAATTTTTTTCTCGCGAGATTAACGTGGCAGACGTCACAGCGGATGTTATGTTGCTCTATAAATAAACCAGAAGCAAAACAACAAGCATGTTTTGCAGTCGTAAACTGAGCTATCATCATAGCACGTCGAGTCTGAAATACCACTGAATGGCCAAGCACACAGCTGACATGAGTCCTCCGCCCCCTCGTCTCAGACAGACAGCTATGGATAATTTCAAAGCGAAGAAAATGAATAACACGACGAAGAACAAATTTGCTGAAGCCATAGCTAAATGTATGGCTACTGCATGCAAGCCTGTCAACATTGTCCACAGCTCGACTGAAGCTGAAACTGACGCGATTGTTACTTGTTTGGAACTATTTTGTGTGCAAGGTTACAGTGTTGCGTGGCCATATAAATAAGCGGGTGGAGCTTCTCTGTGTTCGTCTGACAGCGACGGTGCGCTGAGGCACCTCGAGAGTTCAGAGGTGCAGTGGTAGCGACCTAGCGAACACACTGAAAATAAAACGTCTCCAGTGTTGTCATCGAACCAAGTGTAGTCATCCGAAATGATGTCTACACAAAACTGTAGAGAGACTTCTGCGCAAGAAGGACCAACAGAATCAACATAGCCTGACTGCTGTGTTCAAAGCAAACTTGAGAAAAACAAAGTATGCGACCATGGCTTAAATTTAAATCCACTATAGGCTGAGTACTAGTTTACCTTAGATGTGCACTTTATAATGTTATATTGCTCTGTTTTGATTCCATAAAATGAACTGTTAAAGCAGCTGTTGTGTGACAAAATATTTTTTTCACTGTTGTTGATGGACAGTAATATTGTGTGAGAGATTATGTGTGAATAACTGCTCCAAGTGAAAAATGTTCATGTAATATTGAAAATCAAAATTGTTATTTCAGTAAATATTTGCATTTTGCACATAGAAAACTGATTCATGATTCCATGTTGATGAGAGCATTAAAACGGCGGAAAAATAAGAAAAAATAAAGGAAATTCAGAAATTATAAAAAGTGGGTGAGTAATCATGATTATTTTTTAGTTAGAGTTAATTATGACAGTTGCATTTTTAATTAGATTAAATATTTTAATCATTTGAAAGCTCTAATTTAAATATACACACACACACACACACACAGACACACACATTACACTACAGCTTTATTTATCTAGCGCTTTCACAACAACTGCAGCTGTACCAAAGTGCTTTACAGAAAACCGAATCGGTTTTCGACCCAAAATTTCAATTTCTTTTTATGCCTCGGATTCCGACCGAAAATCGGTATCGCTCCCTATGCTGATGTTTGCCTTGGACATTTTCGAAGGATTGTTAAAAGCCGACAAAAACAAACGACCTCGTATCAGTTCTTGACAATACGCCAGCCAAAACCCACTTCTGAGAGAGAGAGAGAGAGAGAGAGAGAGAGAGAGAGAGAGAAGAGAGAGAGAGAGAACATGAACCAAAGATGGCAAAAAAAACGAAGACGCAGTTAAAAATTAAATGAGTGAATAATCTAATTGTAACGTATTTGTTACATATTTTGATGCATTTTTATGCTTCAGAACGGTGTTTTTCAATCTTTTTCGAGCCAAGGCACATTTCTTTCTTTGAAAAATCCCGCTGCACACCACTAGCTGAAAATATGAAAAAAGCTTATTTTACCAATTAAAGTGTCATATTGTTATTGTTTGCGTTTTTTTTTTAATATTGAAAAATAACGTTATATTACAACACCTGAATAGTAAGCAAATAAACATCAATCCAATATTTTATAATCTTTCATATTTATTCTCACTCAGTGTGATAAAAAGTTTGGATGAACACTGATCTGATATGCTGGCAGCAATCGATGAAAGACACACAAAGCTCTTCCTCCACAGCTCTCAGTCTTTCTCTGTTTTCAGTTTTTTACAGCAGTCATGCTATTTCTTCGGACCGACCCGCTTTGAGTCGGGTCCGAACATCTCATTTACATTGCCACCGGGACATTTTTTTGATTTAGCCACAAGTTCAGCGACATGGTCACTTGCTTTCAGGGCTCATACATGTTGCTTGTTTCTCTGTGTGTTCATGCAGGCGAACAGAATACTCAACATTTTTGTTTTCGAAGTGAAGGGTGTTTTGTTTGGAGATGGAGTTTAAGCTTACTTGGGATCATAGCGCTGTTGGAGAGCTTATTACCACATACCAAGCACAACGGAGTCGGTGCCGTTGCATCTCCGGTAAAAATAAATCCAAATGAAAGATAGCTTTCATTGTCTTGCCTCGCACCAGAAACTTCGCTTGTCTCGAAGCACAAGGCAATAAGCTGGCTGCTGCTGCTACCTACCAGTATGGAAGAGTACTACATGATTACTCTGCCAGGTGATAGACCACGCAGGCATACAAATTCGATTTTTCCCATGGCACACCCGACAATATCTCGCGGTACACAGTGTTTGAAAAACACTGCTTTAGAAAACATTTATGTCTGAATTCACACGCACGCATACGCACGCATTTACAGACGCACGCCATAATGAGCATCAGCCAAAACAGCTGCTAAGATGAACAAGGCATGGGACGCACTTTTGCGGCGTGTGAACTATTGTAGCTCATGTGTACCATTTAAAAATGCTTCTCTTGGCTCTTCACATTCCCATTCTAATGCCAGTACACTCGGCGAATTGTACATGAAAAGCCTTTTTTTTTTTTTTTTTTTTTAACAACAGCCACCTGCCTTGCATCCCGCCCTGCTAATAAAAACGTGTGTCGCGGGCTATGACGCAAATCCTCGTTGACAGAAATGTTGAAATTTAATATTTATTCTACACATTTTTACATTGCATTGGAATACGGAAAGAATGTTTGTCATGTTTGTCCTGCTACAGAAACCATATTTAATTAAACAACAAAATGTATCTCCCTCCCCCATCTTTTTCCATTTTCAAACATTTTTGAAAAAGTTCCAATGAGCCACTAGGGTGGCGGTAAAGAGCCGCATGCGGCTCTGGAGCAGCAGGTTGCCGACCCCCGGTCTGGAGGGAAGGAAGGATGGAGGGAGGGAGGGGGGGAAGAGAGAGAGAGAGAGAGAGAGAGATTTTTTTATATATGTGGGGTTCTCGGACATATTAATAGTGTAAAAAGTTTTGAAATTATTTATCTTGGTTTTATTTCTTTTACAAACAAAATAAATTGACATTTCAACAGCGGTGTTTAGACTTTTTTTATATCCACTGTAAATGTATAGGAGCACTGTGAACACCTTTTATCGAAATGCACATCTGTCTCTTGTCACTGCCAGTCTTGCACAGCGCTGAGCCGCAGGCCCCCTATACAGCCTCCCATGCTATGAGCTGGTGTCTGCAGTGTGCCCAGGGGGTTGCTTATCTGCATGCCATGAAACCAAAGGCATTAATTCACAGAGATCTCAAACCACCAAAGTAAGATTATTGAAGATGATGCACAATTGTTTTCTTCTTTCTCTTTCACCAGCATTGTTTTTCTCTGAACATTACTAGACATTGATTCACCAATGTCACTGTTCTTAAATTTGAAAAAGTCATCATGACCAACTTCGAATTGTTTTTTTAATACACAAAAGCAAAAACAAAACAAAACACTGAAATAATCGTTTTCCATGGGCATCGAAAACTGGAGGATGAACAGACAGCTCCATCCATCCATCCATTCATTTTCTTCCGCATATGGAATCGGAAGGATACTTGCCCAGCAACCATTTGGGTCGCAAGGGAGGTAACCCCCAAGCAGGAAAGCATCGGCGTTCCTTTCCAGAGCCACTTATCCAGTTCTTTCAGGGGTCTCCCGAGGCATTTCCTTTCCAGGCGGGGCCTCCTACCAGTGGAATATGCACTGAACACCTCACCAAGGAAGCATCCAGCTGACATCCTAACCAAATGCCAGAGCCACCTCATCTGGTTCCTCTCGATTTGGAGAGGCAGTGCCTCTACTATATGACCAAACTTCTCACCCTCTCTCCAGTGGAGAGCCCAGACACACTGTGGGGGAAACACATTTTGGCCAATTGGATTAACGATAATTTTCTTTTGGCCATGATCCACAGACTGTGACCACAGGTGAGGTTGGAAACAAACAATAAACAGTCAATCAAGACCTTTGCCTTTTGGCTCAGCTCCTTCAACATGACAGAGCAGTAGAAACTGTATCACTGCACCAATCCACATTTACCTCTGTCCCCATTCTTCCTTCACATGTGAACAAAGACACCAAAATACTTAAACTCCACCACTCTGATTAGGATTTGTTTCTTGACCTGGAGAGAGCAGTCCACTAGTTTCCGACTGAGGACCATGGCTTCGTTTTTTTTTGGGCAGTGATAATTAGTTTACAAACAGCTTCACAGTTGGCTGCAAACCACTCCACTGAAAATTGAAAATTGTATCGTGATGAAGCTAACAGAACGACAGCATCTACAAAGAGCAAAGAATACCAAGGCTACCAAAGCAGATGACCTGAGCACCACAGCTGCATCGAGAAATTCTGTCCATAAAAGTTCTGAACACAATTCTTTGACAAAGTGCAGCCATGGCGTTTTCCAACTCTTACTCTAAACCAGGGGTGCCCATTAGATCTCGGACAGGTCCCAGGTGTATCCGAGGGGTGTAGAGGAGAAGAAAAAAAAACAAACAACCATTTCTGTGTCTTTGTACATGTTAGTAATATATTTTTTGTGTTAATGGTCACTACACCCTAATCATCCCATCAGTCTCATTTTCACGAAAAAATATTTAAAAAATAAAATAAAGCATGTAAATCATTAACCTACGGTGGCGCGTGATCTACGTCACCGGAAGTTGTTAGCGCTCAGCAGTCTGCAATTGCAGCTTGTGATCAGAGCTGTTGCGCTACATCTTTTATCGTCATTATTCTCATTCAGAGTTTGCTTCGTGTACAATTCACCGAGGGCACGGGCAAAGAACAGGAATCTAGAGGGCCCAGGGAAGCACTTTAAAACGGTACGTGTTGAGCAAAGGTGCATTGCATGCCTCTGTGTCAAGCTGTTTCTCTTCATGGCGTGTGTGCGCCTGCGCGCTAAGAGACGATCCCGGGAGATTGGTTGATCGAAAAGTCGATCTGAGGTCCAAAACGTTTGGGCACCCCTGCTCTAAACAAATCAGTTTCACTGCTGGCAATGCAGACTGGCACCAGTTGTACAAGGACAAGATAGCCCGTATGGGACGGCGCGTTTTCTCCAAGTCTACAAAGCACAAGTTCACCGATTGAGTGAACTCGGCCATGCACGTTCCAGGAGCGCACTGAGTACGTGCGCCCTCTGTACCACTGCCAGGACTAAAACCACACCCCCAACTGTCCCTGTTGCCCACACGATGTTGCAGAGGCATTTCAACCAAGACAATTCCACAACAACTCAAGCCTTTAATAACTTTGAGCAGTTCTCATCCACCACAACGGCCGTGCTACCGGGGTGTCTTCTGAATCTTCTCGGTGATCTCACCTCCAGAAATTGCAGAGCCTCCCTCAAAGAGTCGCCAACGCCTGCTTTCTCATAGGAGGGTGTTTTGGCTGACTTGAGTGGGTCTTTGAAGCTTTCTCCCGGACGCGAGACAAACCAGTGACGGAAGCATGGTGAAAACAGACGGACTGACCGACTGACCTTTACAGTTCAGTTCGGCTTGAAAATATGATGACCAGCTACGACGGATGGCTTCGCAGGCCGCTGATGAATGATGGACAGGCAAAATTTTGCAAATTGCCCATCTCTGGGGTTAAGTCAAAAGAGTCACAATTTTAAGCGTCCACTCCCCTTCCTTCTTGCTTGCCAATTTGGGCAAAAAAACAAAGATGTGGACAACACTTTTCTTTTTTTTCCCTTTCTCTCGTTCTCTTTGACTGCAAAAGTGATCCTGAACAGACTAATTCAGCTGTTATTTGAGTATCTTAGTCCTTATAAAAGCCAATTAAAGGGGAAGTCTTGTAAAAAATATGCATTGGATTTGTCGAATATGAATTAAAAATGCCCCCCCCCCCCACACACACACACACACACACACACACACACACACACACACACACGTGATGGATAAAAACGGGTTTGCTGCTTCATTCATATTCCACAAATGCAATCTTAATCAGAATACCGTATTTAAGATAGTGGGGTCACAAAAATATTGCAAAGAACATTTTGAACTTGACTTCCCATTAACACTTTGAGGGACAGCGGTTACTACAGTGGACAACTTATCATGTTATCAGGTTACAGGGTGCATGAAAGGGTTAAGCACAGCATTTCGAGTCCTCAAGTTTGTGATTCTTCTCCACTGAATTGTTACAGTTTACTCCTGGTGTCTCGTGGTACTGTGCTGAAGATTTGCGACTTTGGAACAGCTTGTGACATCCAAACTTACATGACCAACAATAAAGGCAGTGCAGCTTGGATGGCACCAGAGGTGTTTGAAGGTAAGCAGATGGACCGTTTATCACCTAATACAGGATATAAGGTAAGTATAATAAGGGCGATTAAAGAAGCAATTGATTGCACTTTTCCAAATAGCCAATTGAGGCTGCACTCACACTCTGGAATCATGATGTGCTTGGACCTACTTGACCCCTGAAGTCTGGCAACTTTGGGTAGTGTGAGGTCTCTGGTAACTATTTAGGTTCAGTACACTTCTACTTAGGAATGTTCCAATCAGGGTTCGATACTGATTGGGCTCGATCATCCATGGGTGTGATCAGCTGATACAGATCACGTGGATTCGGTGTAAAATGGTCAATTTTAGAGCGACAACTACTGATTTTTCTTCACTGATTAATACATTAGTTTTTTTTTCAATTCATTGAGTAACCAAATTTTAAAAAACTAATTTATATGCCTTTATTATTCAAAAACAGGACATTGCTTTAAAAAGACTTTGCAAAAATGCACAAATTGTGATTCAGTCGTGATGTTGGTCTGTAACATATCAGAAAAGAGGGGAAAATGTTATTTTCCCAAAGTAAAAGCAGCTATTTGTCAATGTCTTTTCCAGATTATGTAAAGATGTGATAGTGATTATTTGTCGAGAGTCTTGTATTCCAATTAGAATTAAACCAAATTACCAAATGGAGTGAAATTTCATTTAGGTCAAAAAGCATGAAACAAAATGCATTCCGGTTGCCAATCCTGCTGGCGTATGAGTATGAAATTAATCCTGAATTATTTTCATTAACTTCATGAAGTATAGGTATAATAAAAAGTTGTACAAGGAAAATAAGAGTGCTTCAAGTAATATTTACTGTAGGTTTTCAACTGTAGTTTCTCTAGCTGAACAGGGCAGTCGCACAAGACTGTAAAAGCAGAGGCACCATTCTGTGTGCTGCTAGGATTAACTACCAGAAAGCCTATGACTCAATGATGCGCACATGGATACGGAAGTGTTTGGAAATGTATAACATGAACAAAATTCTAAAAACCTTCATCAAGAACCCAGTGAGGCTGTGGAATACAACTTTGGAGGCCAACTCAAAGCCAGTTGCACGAGTGAATATCAAATGTGACATATTTCAAGGAGATGCTTTGTCCTCGCTACTCTTCTGCATTGGCCTGAACCCACTCAGTCAGATCAGAACCAAGAGGGGCTTCGGGGACCAGTTCAGAAGTGGAACAATGAACATCCACCTCGTCTACATGGATGACATCAAGTTAGATGCCAAGAATGAACGTGACATTGACTCCATGATTCACCTCGCAGGGATATACAGGAAATGACATCGGAATGTCAGTCAGATAAGTGTGGGCAATTGATATCTAAGCGAGGGAAGATGATTATGACCGAAGGGATTGAACTTCCTGAAGGCAGAATAATAGATGTGCAGGACAACTACAAATACCTTGGAATTCCACAGGCAAATAGCATCGACGAGGAGCCAGCTCAAAGGGCGGCCATGACCAAATACCTAAGGAAGGTGAGGCAGATCCAGAACAGCCAGCTGAACGGCAAGAATATTATAAAAGAACATCCCATTAATACGGACACCCTGCCAATAATTAGATACCCCGCTGGCATAATATCCACTGGAAGAGAGCCAAGCCACAGATATCACCACAAGAAAACTCCTCACAATGCGTGGACGGTTCCATCCCAAAAGCACTAGTCCTGAGGCTGTACACAAAGTGCAAAGAGGGGGCCCTGGACTAGTGCGTGTCATGAACTCTATCCAGGAGAAAAAAACAGGGCTCCAAGGATACATCAAGAAGATGGCCCCCTCCCCGCCCAGGGACACCCTGCTTTGTGAATGCCTCGGGCAAAAGAATCCCTGTCAGGAGAAGGAGCCTGATGGACTTTCGTTGAAAGACAAGCAGCTGCCGTGGCATGTACGACCGACAAATTGAAGAAATGGCGGACATCAAGAAAACATACCAGTGGCTGGAAAAGGCTGTACTGAACGACAGCTCAGAAGTCTGAATCATGGCGCAGAACAGTCCCTAACACAAGATCAATCGAGGCCAGGGTCTATCACAATAGAGGGGTTCAGGTGCAAACAAACCCCAGAGACAGTGCAGCATATCACAGCAGGGTGTCAAACATTGAGCAGCATAACCAGGTAGCAGGAAGAGTTTATTGGAACATTTGTACCAAATGTGGACCAGAGTGAAGATGGCAGACACTTATCAAAGTGGTTGAGAACCACTAGGCCAAGATCCTGTTGAAGCCAATAGAATGACAGCATCTACTAAAAGCAAAGAACACAGAGGCTACCAAACTCTCAACACCACAGCTGCGTTTACAGCTTGAAGGAGATAGATCAACGGTCGGCAACCTTTGACACCGAAAGAGCCATTTGAACCCGGTTTCCACGGAAAAGAAAACACTGGGAGCCGCACATCTAAAATGAAAAAAAAAAAACTTCTACTACTTTACCGCAGCATGTTTCTTATGAAATCCACGTGCTACAGAGAAAATTACATTTTATTCATTTAATGAACACATTTTGAACATTTTGAATTCTTGAAAAATAATAACAATGAATGTCTCTTTCAAATAAATTAAAAAGCTGAATTTAAATTGTCCATGTAGCAAACGAAAGCAGAAAAATGCCATGAGGCGTCATCCTTATATCCATTTATCTTATCTAAAATGAAGATAACACTGTATATATTGCTTTTTCTTACCTTTACACTTTGTATAAACAACTATAGTGTGGTTATGTCTTATGAAGTGCTACGGAGAAAATTAAATTTTACCGATGTAATGAACACATTTTCCTGAGCGGCCACAAAGCTTGCATATGTAGTTGAATTTGCAGACTTCACCCACTTCTTGAATTGATTTTTCGTCCGGTCAGCCTTCTGCATCAGTTCCGAAACAGCTTTTTCCCTCTCTTCTCCCTCTGGATATTTTTCAGCAAAGGCTCTGTGTGTATTGTTAAAATGTCTTGCAACATTTGACCCTTTATTGTTAGCCAGTTTTTCTCCACAAATTAGAGAAAACAAGAATGGCTAGTGTGTTCGGAAAACAAACATTTGTACATGTCATGAACAATGAATGGTCAGTAAAAATCTTTTCTTACATTTCTCCATTGGCTTTGCCGGGGTTGAAAGTCGCTCAAAATAGACGCCGTTTCAGCGGGTATACCAGCTTCCGCAGTGTGACGTCTATTTTGAGCGACGAAAAAATAATATCAAATAATTTAATTAATATTTTAATATTTCAAGATCACAATAATCTTCAAATTTAGAACTAAAATAATATAAAAACTAACACAAATAAAACACACTTCAATTAAATACAAAAAAAAAAAATTTTAGTAATTTATTTTCCCAAGCCAATCAGAGCCGCATTATAAGGATGAAAGAGCCGTATGAGGCTCCGGAGCCGCGGGATGCCGACTGATGAGATAGATCTATCTCCCTATCCATCCATTTTCTGATCCGCTTATCCTCACAAGGGTCGCGGGGTGTGCTGCAGCCAATCCCAGCTGTCTTCAGGCAGTAGGCGGGGGACACACTCACACTTAAGGACAATTTCGAGTGTTCAGTCAGCCTACCATTGCATGTTTTTGGAATGTGGGAGGAAACTGGAGAAAACCTATACAGGCACGGGGAAAACATGCAAACTCCGCACAGGGAGGCCAGAGCCAGAATTGAACCCTGCACCTCTGCACTGAGGTCGATGCACTAACCACTGGATCACCGGGCCGCCCAAAACAGTATTAAAAAAAAAAAGGTCACCTTTCAACCTACTGTGGCGCGAGACCTGCATCACCGGAAGTTGTTAGCGGTCAGCAATCTGCAATTGCAGCTTGAGATTGGAGCTGTTGCGAGATATCTTCTTTTTTCAGGTCCTTAGTAAGGTAGGGAGTGATTTCCTTTTTCACAAAACGTATCTACTTTACTTTTCTGTTTCGTTCTGTTAGGAGCCGTTATGTCTGTTGCTCATCATAGTATGCGTGTGTGCATAGGTGCACGCGTGCAGATGCGCACACGTGCATCGGCACGCTCGTGTGCACGCCTGTATGCGTACATGTGCGGCAACGGGTCTATGGCGGGAGTTTGGTTCCTTGAAAAGTAGATTTTCGGTCCAAGAAGGTTGGGCACCACTGCTCAAAGCAATGAATCTTGGCGCCGTTACTCTGTGCCATGTGGTAGAGTGTCAGTCTCAAACAGCTTTTAGTGTACCAGTTAACCCTAAAACTAAACACACTAAATCAATGAGGCCTTAATGGGAGTGGACCTTTCTTTGTTAAAAGTTGATGTTTGTGTATTTTGTTTGTGTTGTCCAGTGAATTGCATGTCGTATGATGGTGCTGCTGTTTTAATGCAAGGCAAATTTTGGATCTTGTAGCTGAAAAAGTGTCTGTCTATATCTAGTAATAAAATCTAATTCATCTATATATATTAATATAATCTATATCCATTAATATAATCAATACATCTTCATCAATCTAATCTATCTAATGATGTACATTTTATTTATTTGATTATTTGAATGTTTGTGTGTATTCCTCAGGTAGTAACTACAGTGAAAAATGTGATGTGTTCAGTTGGGGCATTATCCTGTGGGAAGTCCTGACACGCAAAAAACCCTTTGATGAGATTGGCGGTTCAGCATTTTGTATCATGTGGGCCGTGCACAGAGGTGAGTGTCTTATATCAACAATATGCATATTTTTTTTTTCTTCATTATCGACACTATTGAAAACTTAAAGACACAATAGGGACTTTCAAACTGCAGGAACCAAATCTGGAACTTCTCTGTGTACCCTACTAGTATGTGTAATCCACTTTTTCACACATAAATAAAGGATCCTGGTCTCAAAGGTTTCGCCAGGGTCTACCTAAGTACCTCCTTGCCACTAGGGTCTTTGTGTACCTACTCACAACGCTTAGTGAGGCTGTGCTGAAGTGCGTTGATTGATTGGTTGAACTTGGGGGTGTGCCATTTTCTCATCGACAGCCTCCATAAACTAATTGCTAGCTCTACGATACACTTTACTAGCTGTGCTGTCTTCACTTGTCGCAATATTTAAGAATGAACGGAAAGTGAATGCAAAGGTGGACACGTGAAGAAATGCAGGCTTTTCTCTGCATTTTTGGGGGAATGAAGACATGCAGCTCAACTTTGAATCGGCAGCATGGAATGACCATGTTTACTGGCACTGCCGAGCTGTACGCTAGCTAAAGACTGTTCAGACGGCAAATACAAGTCAGGCAAAACTGCAAAGTTCACTGGAAATGAGCGTCGAGTGACCAAATGGTGCGACCTACGTGACGGCCAACGGAGCGAAGACGAAGGTAAATATGAAATACTCACATACATACTTGGACTATTCTTATTTCGTTCATTACCTGTCGTTCTTACGATCACATCACGTTTACTTGAGGTGTTGGACGGAGGATTTATTTACAGAAAGTATATTTGTTTTTCTAAGGCACTGTAATATTCAGTTTGAACATAAGCATTGTGCTTAGATGCAGAGAAAGATTGTACCCTAATTATGTTTTGCATTTTGAATTAAAAAAAAAGAAGCTAAATAAATGGTAAAAAGACTATTCCTGAAGATCAACTGCAGCTGTAATGCTTACATCACATATGTGTATAATCTAATAGTCTGACCTTTTTTGTCATCTTTTTTTTAAGTTGCAGCTATTCTGGATGGACATTTTGAGACAATTTCAAACACGAGTGAGCGTTCCATCTTCTACGCCCTCCTCTCCAGTCCTGGTAAGTTTAATTTCACATAATTTCTAGGACACTGACAATATTTTCTGTTACTCATTTTACGTTTATGTATCAATAGGCAGGGTAAAAGGCTCAGAAACCAACTCTACCTGGACCATGGATGTGCTGCGCTGCTGTTTCTGAGTAATAAAGGTACCAAGTATTCAAACACAAGTAATCCTGTCAGTATAATACCTACGAAACAATCAGGAGTACTTGATGTGGTGCTGTTATTATTATACTCACAGGAATACTTGGCATTTTTATTTTGTTTGTGAGCTGACGTCATAATTTTCAGCAGCACATTTTTTAGTTCGCTATAGCCAGGGACATGCTGGGAACACAATTAAGGCCAGGAATAATTGTCGACGGCGGCCATCACTCGCTGAAAAATAGTCGTCGACGGGTGGGGGTGGTGGTAGGCTTAATGCAAACATAACATTTTCTTAAAATTCTCGATGACCACGCCATCGCTGCCTATTGCAGTGACAGGCTGATATATCCACCCATCCATCCATCCATTTTCTAACCTGCTTATGCTCAAAAGGGTCGCCGGGCATGCTGGAATCTATCCCAGCTGTCTTCGGGCAGTAGGCGGGGGACACCCTGGGATTTGTGTGTCTGTGTGTTTCGGTTTCTTTCATGTGAGGGGCCGTTCCGGCTGTTGCTCATTGTGGCGTGCGGCATTTTCTGGCTGATATATTTTATTTTATTTAAGTTATTGTAATCCACTCTAAAAACACAATTTGATTATAAGCACTGCACTTAGATATAGGGAGAAAATGTACTCCAATGATTGAAATAAAATGTATTTAACAAAAAAATGGAATACATATATTAAAAGAAAAACAACTGTTGAAGATAATATGCAAATGGATGCATATATCACTGACTGTGCCATTTTTTTACTGCATGTGTTTTGATTTACAGCTGTTGTGGATGGACGTGATTAAGAATTTTTCCAATTTTTCCAATGCAGCTTTAGGTGTGAGCTCGCCATCAGGCCAACAAGCAGCAACCCTTTGCCTGTGTCAGTGAGGCATTTCACATATAGTAACTTGGAGGGCAATTATATTTTCAACTGTTTCTAATTTTGCGTTTCTGTCAATAGGAAAGCGCATGGGGATGGGACCTGTGATTCATTTCACAAACCAAGAGCTCACCAAGACAAGAAATGAAATGTGGCCAGGCAGACATGCCTCAAAGTTCCGGACAATGCCGAGTTGGCCACAGTGAAGTCTGGTTGTTTGTTTTGAATTTTTGGTACACAAATAAAAAGTTACAATATACCATTAAGTACTTTTTTTCCCTAAAACTTGCCATGCCAAACACAGATACAAAAAGAGCTGTCAGTACTCCATCCATCCATTTTCTAATCTATTTATCCTCGCGACGGTCGCGGGCATGCTGGAGCCTATCCCAGCGGTCTTTGGGCAGTAGGCGGGGTACACCCTGAACTGGTTGCCAGTCAATTGCAAGGCACACAGAGACAAATAACTATTCACACTCACACTCATACTCAGAGTCACACCTAGGGAGAATTGAGAACATCCAATCAACCTACCATGTATGTTTTTAGAATGTGGGATGAAACCGGAGTACCCGGAGAAAACCCATGCTGGCACGGGGAGAGCATGCAAACTCCACACATCCACCTATGCACTGTGAGGCTGACATTCTAACCAGTCGCCCACTGTGCTCCCTCAATTAATAACAATCATTCCAAAATATTTAATGAGTTTATCCATTCATCCATTATCCGATCTGCTTTATCCTCACAAGGGTCGCGGGGTGTGCTTGAGCCGATCCTAGCCGTCTTCGGGCAGTAGGCGGGGGACACCCTGAACTAGTTCACAGCCAATAGCAGGGCACACAGAGACAAACAACGATCCGCGCTCACACTCATACCTAGGGATAATTTAGAGTGTTCAATCAGCCTGTTATGCATGTTTTTGGAATGTGGGAGGAAACCGGAGTACGAGAAAACCAATGCGGGCCCGGGGAGAACATGCAAACTCGACACAGGAAGGCCGGAGCCGGGATCGAACCCACGACCTCGGCTTGACGCGCTAACCACTGGTCCACCGGGCCGCCCAAAGAGTTTATAATAAAATAAATCTTTTAATTGGTTTGATAAAATATGACTTAAGAAAAAAAGACATTGTCCCTTAACCATCAAACAAGTAAAACAACAATATGACACCCTGAAGCATTTTGATCTTTCTCTCGAGCAATGGCCAAAAATATAAACAAGACAGGTGGCCATGGCCATTTATTCTCTGTCAGCACCTCTTCACCTGTTGACCAATCTTTTCAGATGGGTAAAAGTCTGTTGGCAATTGCACCTTCGCATCAGGCAGCAACACTCCTTTGCACACCACTGACAGTGCCTGTGATATAATGATCATTAGAAGGTATATTCCGTGCCTTCAAAGTACCACTACGTAAATGATAGCCATTGTTTGAATAATAATCAACATTCAGCAGAGATGGGCACTTTACTTTACCCACAGTTGTTCAGTGTACGCCGTCAAGAAGACCGCAATAAAGGAGCAAGACGCTCAATTTCCTGGCTCATGAATAAATGAGTTTGGCATGCTGTTGACCTGCCTTAATACCCGGAGTATCTAACACGTAGCGATAACAGTACAGTTGTCCTCCATCCTCATCCTTTTAACGCACTTCCATTCCAGTCCCCCCTCCCCCACTCCGAAAAAATAAAAGCGTCCGTTCTTGAAGTTGGGGGAGAGAGGCTAAAGGCAGAGGTAGCCCAGCCTTCCGTGGGGGGGGGCACATGAAATGCATGTGAAGGGGTGGGGTTAATACCCTCAAGACGAAAACAGCACTTACTTTGCTATATATATATATATATATATATATATATATATATTCGCGTAGCATTGCCGATCTCATCTTGAATGATGTCTTTTGCGGCAACCGCATACAAATATTATCAGCGACAACATTTACATTACATATACAAAGACCGTCTTGAGTACGTTGATGCTGCAGCCGTATTGGATGTGGCAAAGTGAAGCAAATTGTGAATGTGCTTCCTCCTTGGAGATGTATTATCAAGAAAAAACTCACTAGAAACTCACTAATACGGAATTATTGCTTTTGATTGTATGAAATTATCCAAGCTCAGTTTTGCGCTATTTGCCGAATTTACGGCGGATTTGCTGACATAACGCTTCAACGCAACAATTGTCTGCTCCAGAATTGACAAGTAAAAGGAAAATAATATTTACATTGATCCCTCGCTATATTGAGAGAGAGAGAGAGAGAGAGAGAGAGAGAGAGAGAGAGAGAGGAGGTGATTGGGCTTCACCGAAAGCGACAGCACGTCTCTCTTCGCCTCCTCCTCATCAATACCAATTACCCGTACTTGTTTTATCATAAATACAATGGCTGCACGTGGATAGCTGGCCAGGAACTAGCTGGAGGCTCACGGCGGCTACATTGTCAGAGCATCAAATGAGAGCCGCCTTCTACGCCACCAACACAAGTCTCTTCGACTATCCCAGAAGGCAGTGCTGATGAATGTTAATTACTGCATCAGGTTTTCTAATTAAAGGCTAAAGTAAATACGTGTAGTGCTGTAGTCTTTGTCTCAAATATGTAAAGTTTAATCACTGTTTACATATTTTAAACATGTTGGTACCCACATACACTGACACAAAAATTCCTAGGTTGTGAGCCAACCCTCCTTCGCGGTCTTTCATTTATCGCGGCAGGGTCCCGGTCCACATTAACCGCGATAAGTGAGGGAACACTGTATTCATTTTCGATTTTCCACGACTTATTGGCTTATTGGCGGTCCAAATGCCTCTTTACTTGCAGACACTAATATGTAATATGTCCTTCCTCATTTGCCGTACACTGTACAGCGTACAGTGATGCAACGTGACAGTCTAAACCCGTAATGTAGGAATCTAAATGTTGCCTAATGTGCCAAAATTGTGATCGATGATCACCAAAATTTATGTTGACATCTTTACTTATGCTAACATCAACCTCTGAAAATAGAATGATCCCCCAAGTATTCGTGATTATAGGGTGTTTTCCTCTTCACAGAGACACTCACGAGGAAGGTTCCGGGTCACGAGAGAAACGCGTCATTCACAAAATACAAAACATGACATGTCTTACCACATTACACATTGCCACACTTTGAAAAATGTGCAGGACTCTCTCATACAAACCTTGACGTATTCATCGTATATACTCTTGCGTACTGAACCTTATTTTCAGTAACTCCGTGACTGACTGTTGCAGATAAGACTGACCATCAATCAAACCAAAATGACATCACTGTTTCTTTATATTTATAATGTCTTAGTGTTAAGCAACTTAACTTGAGTATTTCACAACACAAAAATAGCTACTATGATGAAATAAAATAATAATAAAAACTTCGTGCCTCAAATGGATGGGCATAAGAATTTTGGTGGGTGGACACCGAGAGAAACTGTCAGAGATTTTCTCGGACAAAGTTAAAGAAATGACTCGGCACACAGGAAAATTGTCTTCAATATCGGCGGGAGGGGATCTCTGAGAGCGAACGACGGTAGTTGCTCCGATGATCACACTCTCTCTCTCCCTTCCCGCCAATTCCGACTTTTATTGTAACATACACGGAAAACACTGCCCCCGACATTTGCATACCGCACCCCCGGTCCGGCCCCTCGGTGGTGATTGGTTACCTGTTTTTTAAACTTGAACCACCAGTACGTTGGCGCCTTTTCTGTCTGGTCTACATCGAATTAACATGTTGCAGACTTTGCGGATGGCCAATGTCGCCTGGGCGCGACGGGTAAACATGATACAATTTTGCTCAGGGTGGACACCGACAGAAACACAACACAGTCAACTTTCTTGACCGGCTGGATTGTTGAGTGTCCGTAGGTACTATATGTTCTCTGATTGTACACCAGTTGGCAGTGTTGCGATAAAAATACTGTTGAGATGAAAAAAGGAGAGGAGTTCTATAATGGTGACTAAGTCAGTCATATGAGCTAATGTTGTGCTGTTAATAGCCTGTTAAGAAAATACAGTGTACACTCTGGCCTTGTTATTTTGCCTCCCGACACCACATACTTCACCCGGTTAAGGCCGATTAAAGGGACGGTCGAAAACCCGCTTGCGTCCTTGCTAAGTCCGTCCTTTTTTTAAAAAAATGACACATTTGCACTTCTCAGCAGGTATTTTGGCCTCCTCTTCATAAGCAAACATCTCAAGTTTGAAGGGTGCTTTCCCCAGATGGCATTTTTGAGCTCCTTCCACAGAGGTTCTGTAGGATTTAGATCAGGGTTTGCCGCAGCCCTCTTCAGACTAATTCAATATCTGAGTTAATATGTGCAACTATAGACACATGATCATCACGCTGCTGGGCTGTGACCTTCATAGCCTTTACCTTTATAGATTTTCCTTCTAATCTGCAAGACAACTCTCTCCTCTGGCCCATGTATAGGAAGGTACAACCCATGTCACCAAACAGCACAGTGACTGCTTGTCACTTTTGAAACAGGTCACCTCCCGGCATGTACCAACAGAAGGTCCCATATTTTGTTTCCTTCTTTCTTTCACTGACAGACCAATAATTTGGGCCTCGTGTATATGATCACTTTTTGAAGGTTTAAATTGCTGTAGTTAGAACCGTAAGGATACAAGATTTTAACAAGTTCAAAGGGAAGAGGATGGTGAACAAAATGTAAAATAATTGATCATTGTTTATTTTGATGTTTAATTATAATAAATAAACCATGCGTTACTTCTATTGATTCCCCGATATACATTTGGAAGACATTAAAAACACAACTTTGCCAACCAGCCTTCAATTCGTTTTCCACCAACGTGAAGGTTCATTTGAGACATGGTGTCACCCTAATCATTGAGAGATGTATCAATTTCTATGTAATTAAAATTATTTCAAGACATTCCTCATAACCTCTGAATTTCATTGTTCATGCCCATCTGTATTAGAGCCATTTAACTCTCTCCTGTAATGTAATCGTGATTCAACTTTTATTCATTTGGCAAAGACTAACTTCCAGGCTATGGTTCATTATGCCGCCCAGGTACAAGGCCTCCTTTGATTAAAGACCTCCCAGAACCCATTGAAACTCTGATGACCCACTGCTGGGACAAAGAGCCAAACCAGAGACCATCTATGGAGCAGATCAAAAACACCATGAGCAATCTCATGAAGGTACTTTCTCCATCTTGTTTCTTTCCAGTCATCAATTTTGTGTATTACCAATATTGTTCAAGGTCACTGGGAAGCAAGAGCCCATCTCAACTGACTTAGGTTTCCAGTCAATTGCAGAAAACAGACAGAGAACCACAGTCTCACAGAAATCACCAGCAGGGTTATTTAACAAAAGTACCGTATTTTCCGCACTATAAGGCACACTTAAAAGCATTCAATTTTCTCAAAAGCCGACAGTGCATGGGCTTGTTCAAAAAATTTAACACGTCTCTCTTTTGCTCCTCCTCATCAATAACGATTAATTGTCTAATCATAAATATATTGGCTGCGCGGCGATAGCTGGCCAGCCGTTAGCTGAGGCTAACGGCGGCTACATTGTCAGAGCGTAAAGTGAGAGTAACACAAGTCTCTTTGTCTCTCTCAGAAGGCAGTGCTGATGAATGTAAATTACTGTATAAGGTTTTATATTTCAAGATTTAAGCAAATACGTGTACTGCTGTAGTCTTTGTCTCAAATAAGTAAAGTATTGTTATATGGCGAAAAAGCAGGCCGTGTGGAAAAAGAATAAAAAGTCAGTTCAGCCAGGATCCAGGAAGGAGATTTTCCCGTTTTGTTTATTTCAAGTAGAAACAGCTAACCAGGTTTAGCGGAACACAGATATCAATGTTCTGCAAGCTGTCCGGCCTCAGTGACTTCCTCAATCCCTTTTTAAAAGGAGTTCATCTGAGCTGCAAGCCAATCATGTCAGAGCTGCAATTGGCCATTCCCAGGTGGTTGCAATTACCTCCCCTGAAACAATTCGTGTTCTACAAAACCCGTTAAGCATCACACAATGATATCACACAGCAACAGTTTTGGATGGAGAGATATGTGCACCTTTCTCCCCATCCAAAATCCACATAAATTAATATGGTTCTTTTGGCTTTATGACAAGTACAAATACTGTTTGCATATTTTAAACACACTGGTACCCACATACAGTGACACAAAAATTCCTTGAGGGGGAGGCAACACTCCATCGCAGATTTTCACTTATCGCAGCAGGATCCCGGTCCCCATTAACCGCGATAAGTGAGGGAAAACTCTAATCCCAAAAGCATAGTTACCTACTGACTAAACAAAGAAGGAGACAAGCAAGACTTCTCAGAATATTTATTCCCCTGTGGATGTGAGCCCAGCAGTTTTGTGTGCCTTTTTGTTGAATCAAATATCTTCATAACTTTTGTCTTTCACTTAATGTTTTGTAATGCCATTTGTATTTATATGTTTCGGGTCCGTGTTTGTGACCAGTTTTAATGGCTTTGTTACAGCTGCAGTGGTTGTTAAGGCTCTGTATAAATGAATTGTATGGTATTGTATTCCTGTAGCGTAGCACTATCTAGTGCAGGTGTGCCCATTACGTCGATCCTGATCTACCGGTAGATCTAAGACAAGTCCCAAGTAGATCCGAGGAGTGTCGAGGAGAAAACAAAACAAACAAAAAAAAAAATGTGTGTCTTTGTACATGTTAGTAATATATTTTTTTGTGTGAATGTACGCTGCACCCTAATCATCCTATCAGTCTCATTTTCACAAAAAAATATATTTAAAAAATAAAGTAAAGCAGGTAATTCTTGAATTTACGGTGGCGCGTGATTACGTCGCCGGAAGTTGTTAGCGCTCAGCAGTCTTTAATTGCAGCTTGTGATCAGAGCTGTTGCTCTCTATCTTTTATCATAATTCTCATTCAGAGTTTGTTTCGTGTACAATTCACCGAGGGCACGGGCAAAGAATAGGCATCTAGGAGGGCCCAGGGAAGCACTTTAAAAGGTGTGGTGAGGTACGATAGTTAACAGGCTGCAAAAGTGCATCGCATGCCTCAGTTTCAGGCTGTTTCTCATCATGGCGTGCGTGCGTGTGCGGTAAGGGTAGATCCCGGGAGGTTAGGTGATCGAAAAGTAGATCTTCGGTCCAAAAAGTGTGGGCACCCCTGATCTAGTGGATGCACAGCGCAACCGCAGCCACTATTTTAACTTCTATGTGCCTTATATATGAAAACTGTTTTAAAATAGGCCATTTATTGAAGGTGTGCCTTCCAATCCGAAGTACCTTAAAGTGCAGAAAATACGGGTTATAAAATGTTTGAGCCACTTAACAAAATTCGAATTAGTGACTCACGCTCACAGTCTGGGCTGAAGCATGTCTCAAGTAATGCTTAGTGCAAATTATTTATTTATTTAGGTATTTATTTATTTAATTGGCCGTCGATGGTTGCCATGCAGTTTCCAGTAAAATGAAGTGAGCCAGACAAGAAAAATACAATGAAAAAAAAACGATTGTTTATTTAGTTTTCTTTTTTGAATGTTGTTAGTCAGGTAAAAAATAAAACAAAACCAAAAAAAAACGTACTTCCTTTCTTGAAAACTTATTTTTAAAACACGGCCCAATAACAATGAAAGCACTGCTCTCATCTCTCAAACATGCTCAAGCAAATGATGTAGTTGCTTTCTGAAGCAGATCCATAATTGGTTGTGACCTAGCCCTGAGCAACTGTGACGTGATTTTCAGTTGACAGCGAGTGGCAAAATGGCCGCCCGCCCCGCTGAGATGGACAAAAATGGGTGGACATTACTGCCTAACTCTTATTCCACAAACACAATACTGTATTCATCAGAATACCGTGCTTAGACTAGTGGGGCCGCAGAGAACATATTTTTGTCAATAAACGAGTCATCTGCTGCTGTAGCCCATCTGCCTCAAAGTTCAACGTACTGTGCGTTCAGAGATGCTCTTCTGCCTACCTTGGTTGTAACGGGTGGTTATTTGAGTCACTGTTGCCTTTCTATCAGCTCGAACCAGTCTGGCCATTCTCCTCTGACCCCTGGCATCAACAAGGCATTTCCGCCCACAGAACTGCCGCTCACTGGATATTTTTTTCTTTTTCGGACCATTCTCTGTAAACCCTAGAGATGGTTGTGCGTGAAAATCCCAGTAGATCAGCAGTTTCTGAAATACTCAGACCAGCCCTTCTGGCACCAACAACTATTCCACGTTCAAAGCCACTCAAATCATCTTTCTTCCCCATACTGATGCTCGGTTTGAGGCTGGAGATTGTCTTGACCATGTCTACATGCCTAAATGGTCGAAAACCGAGGTATGACTGTATATTAGAGCTGTCAAACGATTAAAATATTTAATCGTGATTAAAAACACAACTGTCATAATCAACTCATAATTAACTCATAATTAATCGTGATTACTCACACATTTTTTTATCCTTTCTAAATTTCCTTTTATATTTTTAGCCCTGGAGCTCAAACCAAGCTTTAAATGTCCCAATGTTTTCTCAGTACTTTCCAGGGTCTGATGAACCTCTCAGGCTCCCCCATCAGTCATCAACCAATAGAAGTGGCTCGTCATCTGCCACAAGTACAGGTGCAGTATACTGTTATCTTGTCTTATCAGTGTGAAGAGCATATAATTACAAATTATTCCAGACAAACACAATTATTCCCATTGGATGTCCAGCTCATTCTTTTGTTTGCTGTACGTTAGGTACATGTGCCAGACAAGTAAATTGTTCAGTACCAGGTTAATACGAAAATTAGGAATAACAGACCCTCCCTTGATATTGAATACAATAAATGACCTGTAGACTGGAACTGCATAACATTATTTGAGCAGCGTCCTTGCGATTTACGTTTGAGCAAAAGTCATACTGCAGGCACTGTGATGTGGAGGAGATGTATGAACTCAACATGGTCTCATCTAATTTCAAGGGGATCTGATCAGCTTGCACATTTGGGCTCTGCTCTGTATCGATGAACACTGTTCTCAACTGAGTCTTAATCCTGTTCAAAATTAGTCTCAGATTCTCTGTAACAACCAACTGTTCCTTGACTAAATTGGTGAGGGAGGTCAGAGTCAGAATCGTCTTCATTGACCAAGTATGTAAAGAAATTTGTCTCCGGTAATATAGACTACACTAGTATTGCAATAACAAGCAACTTTGATAAAAAAAATAAAATAAAATAAAATAAAAAAATAAGACATGAAATAGAAGTATAGAAATAATTTCCGTAATGTGAGGGTACCATTGTGCAGTAGGGCTGCCACAAACAATTGTTTTCGTAGTCGACTAATCACCAACAATAATCGCGATTCGTCGACTCATCGGATCAGCCTCCTAAAATAACTGATCTGTGCCTTTTTTTTTTCCTTTTTTTTTTTTCAGAAAACACGAAAAAATTAACCACATTCTGATGATATGTATTAATAATTTCATTCTGGGTATATAAATAAATGATATGTTTAACTACGGATGGAGCGGATGTTTAAGGCATTTTTTTAATGACTTAAGCCATTATTTGAAAAGGGTAAGGGTATACAAATTGCAGCATACTGCACCAGCAAGCAACTGCTCTTATATAACCATTATCTTGAATTCTTTAAGGTATGTAAAAATAAATAATGAAGACAACTACGATAGTTCATTTAATTTTCATTAAATTTCCAGCATTCCTTGAGCAATCTAAAAACAAGGACAATGATGATGATAGTAAAATATAAGAACTTTTCGTTAAATGCTGTTACCTTTAACATATACAACAAATGTGAGGTGTATTTAAACATAGAACATAAAAACTATGCATAGTAACACGCACATGCAACAATTACTGTTATGAATACAAAATATCAACATATAAATATATATTTTAACTTCAAAGGCCTTAAATGCCTTCAGTTTTGTTTTTACATTTAGAAGACTGTGCAACCATCTGAGTAAATTTGGGCTCAAGAAAACAAAATTAAACTAGTGCTGTCAGGAGATTACAAATGAGAGATTAATTAATTATGATCTGTAATTAATGGATCTAATTAAACTATATTTTAATCTACCGGTAATCTAAAAATTGCTTACAAAACCATTATTTTCATTTAAATTCGTTACATTATTGAGGCAGATCAAAAGATTGACATCACAAAAAAAGTGCCATTATGAAGTCTTATTCTTTTTAAACAGACTTGAGCAGATGCAGTCCTAACCATTTACTTTTTGCTGTATTTGAAACTAGTCCCACACCTGCAACCTTTAGTTTTGACCACCAGGGGGGATATCAATGTTTTGTTTTGGTTTGTTTTTTTGGAAATCTCCAAATAATTACAAAATAAAAATAAAATAGAACATCAGGTCCATAAAAAGTGCTTAGGTTGACATATCAAAAACACTTCTGAGCAATACAAGTCCTGAACTTGCTTCAGATAATACAAAAAATAAATAAAACGGACCTTTAAATCACAGTGTTGTAAGTTAGCACTTCAGAAATAACACTGTTCATCATTACAAAATAAAGTTCTGAAATAAACATCAATCATTTCTAGTAGGCTACAGAGGACACAGGAGCTATAATGACTTCATGCCTCGTCCACTGGGTATTCTTCTCGAGTTTAGTTTGCCAAAGAGCTTTGCTATGGCTCGCTTTCGATGCCGTTAGTCGTGGCTGCACTCGTGACTGGGTGCTTTGCATTGATGTGGTAGGCTGAACTTGAATTGCTTCGGTGGTAAGCAAACTCCTTACAAATTTGCCAAACCCTCTACCTTTATCAATAGGGCTGCCGTCACGGCATTTTTGGAACTCTCACATGCTCCTCCATGTTCACCTCTCCTTTCCTCACCGCTGCTTAGCTGGCCCTCCCAACTCCAATGGGAACCTATCAGTTTATGGTAAACAAGCCCAAACATAATGACAGCCAATCAATGTCCGTTTCAGGCTGTGACTGACCATTGTTTCCCACCCTCAACAACTCAAACACAGGAAGCCAACACATAAAAACTGATATTTTTAAGAGGCAACCCACCAACTGAAACAATAAAGTTAGAGATTAAAATTTGGATTAACCCGATTGAAAAACAATGTGATAAATGTGACTGTAATTAATTATTCGCAATCAATGTAATAATTTGACACCTCTAAATTAAACACATCTTGAAAGTATTCAATCATATTACAAAACCAAATGCGGCAGGCATCGAAACCGAAAAATAAATTCTCCACAAAAATGACATTTTCTTCTCACAAAAAGACAAGAAAAAAGTGCACTTTGTGCTCAGTGCTCACAATTTGTACTACTAGTGCAGGGGTCGGCAACCCAAAATGTTGAAAGAGAACGAAAATTTGTCTGGAGCCACAAAACCTTAAAAGCCTTATATAAGCCTTATAATGAAGGCAACACATGCTGTATGTATCTATATTAGCTATATTAGCTTACTATCAAAATTATTTAAGTTGGCTACAAATACACAATAAGCCTTCATGATTAATCGTTTTTTTTTTTTTTATTCATTGCAGTACATCCTGTAGAGCAGTGGTGCCCAACCTTTTTTGACGGAAGATCAACTTGTCGATTAACCAACCTCCCGCGATCGACCCGATACCGCACACGCGTGCATACACACGCACTTACACACGCATGCCATAATGAGCAACAGCTATTACGGCCCCGAAGATGATCGAGGCATGGAATGCACTTTTGTAGCGTGTTAACTATCGTTGCTCACGTGTACTGTTTAAAAATGCTTCTCTTGGCCCTCCAAGTCCCCGTTCTTTGCCAGTACCCTCGGTGAATTGTACATGAAACACCGTTTTTATTTTTTGTAACAACAGCCACCTGCCTGGCATCCCGTCCTTCTGATAGAAATGTGTGTCGCAGGCTGTGACACAAATCCTTGTTGCCAGATATGTTGATATGTAATATTTATTCGACACATTTTTAGTGCAACGGAAAACGTTAAGAATGTGTCATGTTTGTCCTCCGACAGAAACCATATTAAAAAATATAAATATTTCCCTCCCCCATCTTTTTCAAACATTTTTGAAAAAGCTCCAGGGAGCCACTAGGGCAGTGCTAAAGAGCTGAATGCGGCTCTTGCGCTGCGGTTTGCCGACCCCCGTACAAGTGAATAGGAAATGTGGCAGATTTTTTTTTTTTTTTTTTAAACGCTACCTCCACCCCATCGCAGCGGATCAACACTGCAGCAGGATAACATCTGCTCTCAAAAGTGAACACAAAGACATGCTCACTTCCCTGACAATGAACAACAGAACTGTAGATTAAGATGAGAGGTAGAATGTAATACAGTATTTATGTTTTGGGTTCAGTGCCTCCTGGATCAATGAGAGAGGGGTTCAAAATCCACGCTGACGTAGCTTGACGACCACGGCGTTTTCATGCTCCGTACAATGCAGCCGCCCCCGCCAGCTATTATTTCTAAAAAACTTTGTGGGTCTGTGTGTATTGGTGACAAGTGTCAGAGTGTAGACGCCCTAGTCTTTTCTCGAGTAAGTAAGCGCTTACGGTCGCCAAAAACGAATGAAAATGACAAAAACAAAGACAAAACGAGGAAGCATGTAACCGAGGTGGCCACTCGTGTCGGCGCCATCTTGTTATACCTCATTCCTTTCAGCTCAGGGTAGACCAGGGGTGCCCATTACGTCGATCCTGATCCAACAGTAGATCTAAGACAGGTCCCAAGTAGATCCGAGGAGTGTCAAGTAAAAAAAAAACCAAACAACCATTTGTGTGTCTTTGTACGTTAGTAATATATTTTTTGTTTTAATGTACGCTGCACCCTAATCATCCTATCAGTCTCATTTTCACAAAAAAAAAAAAAAATTAAAAAATAAAATAAAGCAGGTAAATCTTGAATTTACGGTGGCGTGTGATTACGTCAACGGAAGTTGTTAGCGCTCAGCAGTCTGCAATTGCAGCTTGTGATCAGAGCTGTTGCTCTCGATCTTTTATCGTTATTATTCTCCAGTGTTGTGTCCAAGGACCGGCAACCCGAGGCCAAGGCCAAGGCCAAGGACTTGCCTCCGAGGCCAAGGCCAAGGACTTGGAAAATTTTCCGAGGCAAGGCCAAGGCCAAGGACTTGAAAAATTTTCCGAGGCCAAGGCCAAGGACCAAGGACTT